TAGCAATCTTTTTCTATCACCATAATCTATGGATGATTCAAATATCAAAAAGACTCATCGAAATAATGTATTGACCATATTTATTCATTCAGCAATATAAATGCATGATAAATCAGCTTCGGTTTTTTTATGCATCTTGTTAGTCATTCGTTTAATATTAGATTACCCAAACTTCTTTTTTTTACTCTTATTTTGAATGATGAGTAACTATGTCTTACCTATAAAAGCAAACAAACTGTTATTTTTGTTTGGTAGAGTACCCATGATTCTTTTTTATCAACAAATTATTTTACGCAACAAGTGTTAAAATTGCATGTGCAACTTGCAAAAAACTCATTTTTAATTTTTTCAACTATATGAAAAAGAATATCCTGTAAAATAGAACTAAAAGTAAGTAACATAAGATATAAAGCAATCAAATTTATTTTTTGTATAAGTCTAACATTATACATATATATATCTTTCTCTCTCAGTAAATAATAGACTGAGTTGAGGAGCTGAAGTTTATTTTGGGTAACTGGAAAATGAAAATTTTTTAGAACCTCGTCCTCGTAAAATATTCCTTTAATGATGCAGGTGTTTCGAAGTAGTATGATGGAAATATATTAGAAGCGTAGAACTAACTCACAACAATACGGATGTTAGAATGAACATCAAAGGATTGTTAGTGCCTCATTATAAAGAATGTAGGAAGCTATAAAGTTTATGCTACGCCATTTGAGAGTGAAGAGCTGTTGAAGGCATAAGAGGAGTGAGTGAGAGAGCTCATAAATAGCTCGAAGGGGAATACAGACGACGATCCTGATGACAGCTCAGCCATAGCTTCAAGAAATAAGAAACGGTTCCACGATTGAAGAATAAGATCTTTATCTGTCCAAAGTTTATTGCTCATCTCCGAGCAATATTCAGAAAATTGTCACGTTTAGTTTAGTAGCTTCGGTCCACATGTTTTTAACTAACTGAAAGAAATGAATAGAATGAACACCAATTGGTATTTGTACCTAAACATGAGCAGATTAATGGATTTGGGTTCCTAATTTCGTTCTGAAGTCACTCTTTCTACTCGAATTAGAAAAGGAAAAAAATCTATATATCTGATGTTACAGAACGAAAAAATTGTTTCCTAAAGATTTGCTATCTTTCTAGTAATGGCTACAACTACTGAGTTAAATCTATTGCCAAGCACCTTTTCTGAGCCATCAACAGCATTCGTGTGTCCTTTAACACTCCAATTATTCCGTGATCCAGTTATTGCTGAAGATGGTTATACATATGAACGAGAGGCAATAATTAAATACATAAATGAAAAGCATAAAAGTCCAATAAAACCACTACAAAATTTATCTATTGATGGATTACGTCTAAATTTACAAGTTAAAAAAATGGTTGAAGAATTTGAAAGAACTATACAACAAAAACATTATCGTTTTAAATTAAATGTTGATATAAAAAAAGGTCGAAAAACTCTATTTCAAGCTGGTTGTAAAGTTTTATTTGAAGCTGAATGGCTAAGAAAATTAGAAGGACCAAAAATTGTTTTATTGAAAATATTTGATACTCGTCCCGATCGTGAAGCATCTTTTTATGTTGAACTAAGTCGTCACCAACATATACTTCGTACTTATGGATTAGTAGAACAGGATCCACCAGACCTTGATTCAGTTATGTTATTACAGGAATATGCACCTGAAGGTAGTCTATTTGAATTACTTGAAGATCAAAAATCTGTACCACATGAATCGATTTTATTTGAAATGTTTATACAAATAGCCGATGCTATGTCCTTTTTAGCATATAATCGGATTATTCATGGCGATTTAGCATGTCGTAATATACTTGTTTTTCGTTTTGATGAAATGAATCCAAAAAATAATTTAGTCAAAGTAACTGATTTTGGTCTTAGTCGTGCTACTTCTATATATTCACCTATTTCTGCTAATAGTCGTTCAACTATCAACATTATTCCAATACGTTATGCTGCACCTGAGGTACTCCGTCATGATAATTTATCAAAAGATGTCTATAGTGAAAAATCTGATATGTTTTCAATGGGTGTACTTATGTGGGAAGCTTATTCCAAAGGTAAAATGCCATGGACAGGTGAAAAAGATGAGAATGTAATAAGAAAAGTTATCGAAGGTCATAGACTAGAGCGACCTCCGGCGTGTTCAATAGAAAGTTGGTCAATTATTCTTGATCAATGTATGGCTGGGCCACCGGAAGATCGACCTTGTTTTAAAAATCTTAAGGACGTATTTACTCA